CTGAAAGCAGATTTCCATTTTATTTGAATTAGGTGAAGTGACTATTCCTTTAACTGAATGATGCCTAAGGCAGTTAAGATTCAGAATACAGTAGGTAGGCCCCCCTTATTTGTGGACGGTTTATTGTAAGACCTCCAGTGAATACCTGAACCCACGGATGGTGCTGATCCCTGTATATACCGGGTTTTTTCTATACTTACGTGCCTGTGATAAAGTTTAATTTATAAATTAGGCATGTAAGAGACTAACAACAGCAACTAATAAAATAGAAAAATTATAATAGTACACTGTCATAAAGTTACGTGACTAGTGTGCGTGTGTCTCTCTCCTTGATCTGGTAACAGATACACTATTGAACGACTAACAGGAGGGTAGCGTAAACAGTGGCTACATTGGACAAAGGAATGATTCACATCCCAGGTGGGATGGAAAAGGGCGGCATGAGATGAACGCTGCTCATAATGGGCCACCGTTTAAAACTTATAAATTGTTTATTTCTAGAATTTCCCACTTGGTAATTTCAGACCCTGGTTGACCATGGATAGCTGAAACCACAGAAATGAAACCCTTGGATGGGAGGGAACTACTGTAAAGAATCAAGAGAAGGAGTAGGGAAACACCCAGTTCTTATCATGTTGAATTGAGGTTGGAATATCCAGTGTGCAAAATCTCTAGGTTAAAGATTATAAACCCATGAACTATAAGGCATAGTCTTAAGTGTAGGAGTGAATGAGATTATCCACAGAGAAAGAGAAGAGCAGAAGTCTTGGGAATGAACCGTGAACACCATTATATCAGGAGCTGACTGAGGAAGGCACATCTAGTGCTCGGTAACTAACAGTCAAGAGTTAAGAGGAGAACCAGAAGAGGTGATGTCAGCAAAGTCAAGGTAGTACAGTATCGAAGAAAACATTACCACTTTCATGTGCTCTAAAGAGATCAAGCACTGTGAGGACAGAGGGCCCAGATGATTTGCGGTGAGGTTAGCAGTGGCCTTTTCCTGCTTGTAAGATATTTATGGGATTAAGAATCGGAGTTTCAATTTTGGGTCAAAGAGAAAATGCAAAGTGAGAAAACAGAAAAATTTATCAATGCATCCTGATGAGTTATCAGAAATAAGTAGAAATATATCATAATGATTGGGGAGGGGGACATGATTTAGGATTGAAATAGACCTTAGAGATATTCAAATAGCAACTTCTTAGTTTGATAGATGAGGAATCCAAGACCCAAAAAGGTTTAGTAGTTTACACTATAGCAAAGCTGCTAAGTCTAAGTCTTCTGATTCCAAATCTACCAGTATATAGGAGCAAACTCTTCATCCAAAAGGGAGGGAGAATTCTTTCTACTGGTTTCTAACATTAATCTTACTCTTTTTACATTTGAATTTATTCTTTTTCAGGTAGAGAAGGGAGTAAGTTATGATTGTACTAGAGAATATCTGCATGTTCCCCGTGTGTTGTACATGCAGAAATGTGTGATAAAATGCCACTGGCTGGATCTGAAACAAAATGCTAAATTCTGTCATGTTGCAAATGTGCAAAATTAATACATCAGCATAGGTATTTATAGCCAGTTAAGGGAGAAACATTATATTATAGTTTTGTTTTTAAAGTACTTATTGAATTAGAAATGTATAATACTCAATTTTAAGATAACCATTCTTATTTATATAGGGAGATGGGTCTTATCCTTAGGCAGTTGTGTGAAAATATTCATAACAGTATTTTTCAGCACTCCTACCAGAACATAAATTCTTTAGTTTTTGGTATAAGAGCACCACCTATGGGTTTCTCAGGTATTTGGGGGGCATTTTTTAAAAACAAAACCCAGTATTATAAAATTCTTTCTACTTTTCTCCTAATACTAGTCTATTCATGTATTTAAAAATTAACAGTTGTCTGCTTTTTTCATATACTATTCCCACCTAGTTTTCAGATATATGTCATTGCTGTTAAATCAGCTAATAAGTATTTGAATACTGGTATCTCAGTGCAGTATTACGATTCTAAGTTAAATATAGTTGAACTCAAAATTTATTATTCTTTTTAATGTAGATGAATCTTTTAATGAAAATGAGTGACCTTCTGCATTCTGGGGAGGAGTGATGATTATTTTTGCCTGTTTATTTGTATCTTCAAGAACTTAAGAATTTCTTCAGTATACAACTCCAGAAAGCTTTGACAAGAGATAAAAAGAAAGAAAAGTCTTATGAATGACTTAGGATATCTTTTCATTAATTATTGTGAAGAACTCATTAGAGCAGCTATTTTCAACTGGTGTGCTGCAAGAATTTTTAAAACATGCAGTACCTGACTATTTAGTCAGGGACACTGGCCGCTTTTCCCTTAGACTGTCAAGTTAAAAAACGGCAGCAGCCAGCACAACAATAGCCGTCTAGTATGAATAAACCAAAAGCATACCTATTTTTTTTGTCAGATAGGCAAAAAATGGGTTTTTTTGGTATGCCACAGAATTTTAGTAATTACTGTATGTGTGCCATGCAATGAAAAAGGCTGAAAATCACCGCATTTGAGCATAGTTAATAAGCTCTTAAAATAGGGTGACATTTGTTTAAAATTAGTCTTTTTCTAAAGGTTCATTCATTATAGTTAAAAGTTTTTGTAAGAGAAACTGTACTCTTAACAAAATTTAACAACAACAAAAAAACATTGGGAGCTTTGTCTATGGGTTGACAATCAGATGTATGCTAGCTTCTTGATATATTATATCCTTTTGTTCTAAAAGTGACTGAAAACAATACCCCTTTGGCAATGTACCCTAACCCAGAAGACCTATTTTAGGCATAAATACTTTTTTTTGCAGTAAAATGTACTTTTAAAACCTTAATTTCATGGTTTTTTTTTTTATTTTATTTTTCACAGACTGGGTTTTTCTATAGAAATAAGGATTGACTAAGTAATATTGCTTGCTTTATTTTGGTCATTGTAGATAAAAATTACTTTTTAAAATTACATAGAGAGTACACTTCTTAGCATTCTAATTTAAATTGAACAGAGTATAACCTCTGTTACCAAAAAAAAATTCATTATTCCACATTATAATTGTAATAGGGACAACTTGCCTTTCTACAAATGGGGTTACCTAATTCTTTAACTAACAGCAAAACTCAGAATGCATGAAATTTCAGACCACATATTTTATCAGGCACTTTGCTTGCAATGATTCATTGATTCACTCAACTCCTTTAGCAAGGTATGCCGAATTGTGATAGAATGAGACCGTTCTCTTACTGTTAGGAAGGCAGATGATACTGAGCAGGCTCTAAGTTGTTGTGGTTTCTGAGTTGGGTAAATACTTTTTATTTTTCTGAAAATTGCCCCATCACTTCTGATGACTATATGTGTACCCTTGGCAGCTAGTCTTCTACTTCTAATTGGACGCCTCTAATCTGTTTCTTTAAAAATCATATAATTGAATTTGTCAAAATTATATCAAACTAAATTTTTAATTTTACTGAGGGCTTAAACATTTATTATATATATGTCTCTGTAGCCCAGTGACTGTTTATTAAATTGAAAGAAAATAAATTGTCAGGTTATGAGCTGAATTGTGGATAGGTAAAATGTTAACTATATTACTGTGGGAGCTCAAGGTAGTCAGAATCCAGGAAAGTGGTGGTAGTAGTTTGAACTTACTCTCTATTTTTCTATGATACTCAGATAGCTAATCACATAATGATGTTTTAATCATGACTGCGAGGTCTGTCTAGAAGGTATCCAGCCATGTAATATAAAAAATAGAGACATTTATTGAAAAAAATACAAGAAACATTGTACATAGGACAATGATGCCTCAGTCCCCTTCAAAGTGGGCACCTTGGGTCCTCACACAGCTCTCCCCGTCACCATCAGCTGCCCCGTCATATTTCATCAAAGGGCTGAAATCTCTTCCCTTTCAAAGGTGATTTTAGTTTTGGGAAAAGCCACAAGTCACATGGCCCCAGATCTGGGCTGTAGCGGGGCTGAGTCACCTGGGTGATTTGATGTTTTGCCAAAAACCTCTGCATGAGACGTGATGTATGAACGGGTGCGTTGTGATGAGTCTGCCAGTGACCAGTGGCCCACAGCCGCAGCCTTCTGAGTCATCGGAACAGCTTCCCAGAGGAACATTCGAGCTTAACACAAAATTTGATGCAGATCCATTGCTGTGCTCGCTAAGTCATTTTGACTGTGAGAGCCACACACTACACATGCGCACTCAATGGCGTCTGCCGCCCCCGCTGACCAGTAAAATGTCGCACAGACCGTTCTCATTATATTAGCAGTGGCTGGAATTTTCCTGGACAGACCGCATATTTCAAGCTTTTATTTTTAAAATAATGTAGGAATTATTCATGACCCTGTAATATAGTTTGGAAGTATTAAAAATGAGTTACACAGCTACTTACAGTAATTTTGAAATAATATTTGGCTATCTTTATCAATCATCCACTAACTTTAATAATCCAGCTTTTTGCTATTATGTTTATATGTGCTTTCCCTAAATTATTTTGTTCAGAAGACTATTTATATACAGTCTTTTATTTAAAGTGTCCAAAAAGTAAAATAGTACTCCGGATATAAACTCAGTAGTTCAGTAAATAGTGAACTCTTAAGTGGTTTATAATAAAATAAATGTAAAAGGTGAGTTTTAAGAAAAGATGGATGGATGGGTGGAGCAACTGATTGATCTCCGTGGCTAAAGCTAGCAATTCTGACTCTTAAACTATTATTCAAAGATCCCATTTGAAAACCTTTGTGCCTCCCCGAAATGTGTACTTAATTAGGGTATGATAGTTTAACTAAAAGGAAGGAAAATAAAATATCTCATTTGAGTAATGGAAGCTTTTTAAAGTTGATAATACCATATTTTATTGTATAAGATTTGATGTCTGAAGTGTTGGGTTTGGCTGGGTTTTTTTTAAACAAACACTGATTTACTTAATGCTTTGTTTTAAAATATAATAATTAGCTAAGATTTCTTTGGCTCTCTTCCAGCCTGTGGAGAGACTCCAGAGCAAATTCGAGCACCAAGTGGTATAATCACAAGCCCAGGCTGGCCTTCTGAATATCCTGCCAAGATCAACTGTAGCTGGCTCATAAGGGCAAACCCAGGGGAAATTATTACTATAAGGTAATTCTGGATTGTTTCTCTATTATTATATACTATTTTATTACAAAATAATTCCATTTCCAATTATCATCACTTAACATGAAAAGATGATTTTCAGAAAATATAAATTATAGTTATCAATATCATCTTAAGGGTAAGACTAGTGGCCCATTATTTCTCTAATATCAGGGCATGTGTTTTAAATATTTCCTACTGGTGGCAGTGGATTGGTACTGAGTCATTCATATTTTTCTAGGCCACTTTTAAACAAAAAGCACACATTAGCAAAATAGCTTATTAGGTTCAAGAATGTAATCTTTGGCTGTGGGAGGTCTAACCCGTAATGTTGGTCTCATTAGTAGAGTCCTCTACTTTAATGAGTTAAAACAATAACAGGGTATGTCTGTGTACATATATATGTATGTACAAAACCTGAATCTAGCTGATAGTGGATAAATACTGTGTCTAGAAAAATCCACCTTCATAACTTTGAAACAAAAGAACATTTGTTAAGAATACAAAGTTGCAGATATTTCCCAGGGAAAATAGCCATAAGTTTAAGATTCTAAGAATAAATATGATATAAATAAGAAAGATTAAGACTTAGCTTAAAAACACTTAAAATTGCAGAGAAAAAGTATGGGATAAGATATTAAGGAGAAAATATTTAGCAGAATTAGATATTGCTTGCTTATGGAAATCATATCAAGGCTGTCAGAAAAAAGGAAAAAAAAAATCCTGAAGGGGAGGAAAAAATAGTGCAGTTAAACCGAGAACTAAAGTTGGAACTGAAACACCAATAAGAATGCCATTTCTCTCACAGAGACAGCGGTCTGCAATGGCACAAAGGCACCTTCGACATTCTTTCATTAATAACATTTTTATAGGTAAGAATCACAGAATTTTAGAATTAGATTGAGATTATAAATTTAGCCTACTTTTGTGTCTTTTTCGTGTCAACACATTAATGAGAGAACAATTCTCTCTTGAGAAACACAACTGTGGTCTATCCCCTTTTTTCTGTGGAAGCCATAAAGCAGGGACCACATGGTTTGTTTTCCCTTGGTCCCCTCCGCCCTGACCACATCTTCTAGAATGTAGGAGCTGAGCTTGTAGAGGCTGTTCTGCTCCTATAAGGAGTGCCATTCTCTTGCATGATTGATCGATTGGTAGGATAAGCCTTTGTGGTTATCCTTCTGCAAACATACCGGTGTTTGAATCTGAGCGATATGCCTATTTTTCTATTGCACCATGGCTAAGTATAAACGTGTACGCAAAATAGCATTTTTCCCATAAGGATTCCAAATGTTGGATCTTTTTCCAACATAAAACTGGAATTTTTGGAGATACTTAATCTTTTAAACTAAAGGTCCAGCCTCAAAAATAAATTTGCAGCTTACCCGCTCAGTTACGTAAAACTTGGAAATCCTTGCCCGCGCAGAGGAGGCTCCGTGGAGTGCTGTCACCTGGTTCTGACCATGTGCCGGACCCTTGAGATTTCACAAGGAAGCTGCACTGAAAACCACGCACAGTGCTGAGATGCAGAATGAAATGGAGGTGACCCCACGTCTAAAGGGAGATTTCCTAAGTTCTGGAAGGAGTTAATGAATTTGGATTCACACAACCTAATAAGATCCTAAAATTAAAAGTCCATTAAGGACAAATCTGAACAAACTCACTAACAAACTGTAAAACCAAACCTCCACAAGTTCAGGGTGATCAGACAGTAATTTAATTGCATGATAGAACAAAAATAGTATGAGTCTCAGCCTATCCCTGAGAAGAAATAATAATTAATTCAAGATAAATCCTATGTGTGAAAGTAAAAACTAACACTCTAAAATATTACAAGAAACCATTGTTAAATATCTTTGGGATCTTGAGGTAGGCAAAGGTATCTTAGAAAGGACAATAAAAGCACTAACATAAAGGAAAAGATAATAAATTAGGCTCGTTTAAAACTGAAATTAAAAACTTCTGCTCATTAACAGATACCATTAAGAAAGTGAAAAGACAGTCCATATAGGCTAGAAGAAAATATTAGCAATACGCATTATCTATCAGAGGACTTGATTCCAGAACATGAAAAGGAATTTTTGTAACTCAAAAACCCAATTTTATTAAGTGGGTGAAAGACTTGAGCACTTTGCAGGAGAATTAGAATGGCCAATAAGCACATGAAAAGATGTTCAATATCATTTAGTCTTCAGGGAAGTGCATATAAAACTACAGTGAGAGAAGCCATTTTATTCCACTCTAATGACAGAGAGAGAGAGAGAGAGAGTGTGTGTGTGTGTGTGTTTTCTATAACAGACATGCCCTAAATAGGTACGTGTTTATACTATATAAAGAGCTCTTTTAAGAATAAAAAAATTTAATGGATGAAGGATATAAAAAGTCAATTCACAGGAAAGAAATAGCTGATGAACATATGAAAAAGTGTTTCAATCTCTGTAAATAAGGAAATGCAAAATAGAGCAATGATAATCTCTTGTCCACTTAATGGGCAGCAAATTTTTTTAAAAACAGAATATCTCATTTTGCCAGAGTTGTGGGGAATAAGGTACTTTCTTACAAATGCAGTGGAATTGTGAGTTGATATAAACATTTCTCTCAGTGTCTAAAACATTTATGGTAGAACTGTGTCTTTTGACCTAACAATTCTACTTTTAGAAAATATGTACCAGAGAAATATTCGCCCATGGTATAGAGAGAGTGCATGTTTAAGGATTCTCTAAACCATTTTTCATAATAGTGAAAGGTGGAAACAATAAAATTGTCTATCAGCCTTTGTTACAGCTATTCAGAATATTTAGAGAGGAAATATCCTGGTATTGTAATCCTTGGATAATTAATTTTATTATCACTTAGTTTAAGGCAGAAGCAAGGAGATAAAGTCAGATATTCACTTCTTTGTGAGACATGTTATGGGAAAATGATATTTTAGTTCCTTTCTTTCCATAACAGTGGCTAATCGTGTATGTGCTCTTATTTACTTGGCTTTTTCCTGTTTACTCATGCCTATATTTTGTGAACTATAGAATAATGTTTAACTATAAAGTAACTTATGTGACAAAGGGTATGTTCAAACCCTGGAACTTTTCACTGGAAAATTTTTTTGTTCGTTTACTTTTATTCTTTGGTCAGATTTGTGCTATTTGCTCTCAAGAAAATGTAAGTTGTAAACGTTTCACTAAGCAAGCATTCTAATCCAAGAGACTGATGGCTTTCTCGGTGCGTACTTCAGCTCATTAGATTATAGAGTGGTGTTTTGGGTTCAAACACAGAACAATTTAGGATGTTCTGAATTAGAAGTATTTTTCCTAAACACACACACAGAGAAAAAATCAAAAAGGTGCCAGCTATCACCTGTTTTTTAGCATTATTTTGGAGTCTGACATTACCTATTATGAAACATTACTCTGGAATTGGGGAAAGAGATACAAATATAGGAACAGTGGCCAGTATTACCTGATTATAATATGGTTATATGTTTGGAAACCCAGGAGAATATATAGAGGCTTATAATAAAGTCCTCAGTTACATTGTATTATGATGGGTTTTTTTTTGGTTTTTTGGGGGGGTGGTTTGCCAAAATTACCCTTTCTCATAGCCTTTTCTGACTTTTTGTTTGTAGTTTTCAGGATTTTGATATTCAGGGGTCCAGAAGATGCAGTTTGGACTGGTTGACAATAGAAACATACAAGAATATCGAAAGTTACCGAGCTTGTGGTTCCACAATTCCACCACCATATATTTCTTCGCAAGACCACGTCTGGATCAGGTTCCACTCCGATGACAGTATCTCTAGAAAGGGTTTCAGACTGGCATATTTTTCAGGTGTGTTTTTTAATAAGAACAAAGATACTGAACAGAATTCTGTAGTATTAACTGCTCTGTCTCGTGGGGGCTTGTCTTCTAAACACTGTTCATTTGGGACTAAGTTCCTAAGTTCACAACTTCTGTGATTGAGAAGTTAGGAGCTCAAGGTTTGGGTGCCCTAGAGCTGGGTCTTAAAAAGGTGTTTTGTATAATCCTAATAAAATGATTAGTTTAAAAACAAAGGTCAATTTTCTTTTTTAAAATTTTAAGAACACTAAGTGTAAAAGAGCTTTTTCTCTCTCTGGTGCTTATCGACACCCTGGAAGTTACTTCAGAATATATTTTTGTTTGTGAATTACCACTGTCTTTACAAAAAGACATACTCAGTTTCACCTTCATAATTTTTAGTATCAGAAGTCTTTGTTTGCCATTTTTTTAACTGTATCCAAAAAGAGTGACTAGATCATAACAACTGGGAATATCTCAGAGCATTAGAGTTACGTATTTGTTTTGATGAAAATAATGTCACATCTTCTGAAATCCCATGGTCTTCTTGAGCAAACATATGCTCCCTTTTCTCTTTTTTCCTAAAAACAGTCTTAGTAATATTTAGGTTCTGAAGCACCTTTTCTGTCACTTATTCACCAATAAACAAGTTCTTAATGGAAGATTTAGCATTGGCCTAATGGGGACTGGAGGAATGTAATGTCTGGTTTTCTTTCTTTACCTCATTGTTTTATATTTACAATGGTACAGTAAGATATTTGAATCTTACGTGCATTCCAATTTTTTTCTGTCTCCTTTCCCCTAGTATTGTAATTAAATTTATACCTTTAGTTCAGATTCATGCAATATTTTGCAATTGTTAAAACAATAGAAATTATAAAGTGAAGGTGCTGTGTTATGAGTACATGAAACATTATAAACATTATAAAGTTGACCTTTTAATCGTAGCAAAGATTTAAGTAAACAATGGACTCACAAAATATGCCGTGATATACATAACAAAATATTGTATCATATATATAAACAACTAGAAAAGAATATGAAAAAATGGCTTTGAAAAGGTGACTTCCATGAATGAATTTTTCTTTATTTCAAAATGTATCATTTTGATGTTTATGCAATAAAAATTTGTAGGCAGTATATCCTATTGGCTCATGTGTCTTACATCATTTTACTGGAGATTCATAGTAAAATAGCTTTCTGTAAAAACAGAATTGGTTTCTTCTCTTTAGATCAAACTGCAAAGATTTTTATGGGACAAATCATAAGTTTTTAATAAATTGAATTGAGTGATTTGTGAGCCAATATCAATTTGCCATGAGAACTCAACCTATTTTTAAAACAAGATTTTTGAAACCCTATTCCTTGGGCTTAATCAACATTTATTATAATGTATTTGAAAAAAAATAAATTTTTAAAAAGTTAAAAAAAATGTATTATAAAAATATCATTGGCTATTCATATCTTTTAAAGAGTATGTTTTTGTGCCCTTCCTCCCCACCCGCCTCCTTCCTTCCCATGTCTTCCCAGGGAAATCTGAGGAACCAAACTGCGCTTGTGATCAGTTTCGTTGTGGAAATGGAAAGTGTATTCCAGAAGCGTGGAAGTGCAATAACATGGATGAATGTGGAGACAGTTCCGATGAAGAGATCTGTGCTAAGGAAGCGAATCCTCCGACATCTGCCTCTTTCCAGCCCTGTGCTTACAACCAGTTCCAGTGTCTGTCCCGGTTTACCAAGGTGTACACTTGCCTCCCCGAATCTTTAAAGTGTGACGGGAACATTGACTGCCTTGACCTAGGAGATGAGATAGATTGTGATGTGCCAACTTGTGGGCAGTGGTTAAAATATTTTTATGGTACTTTTAATTCTCCCAATTACCCAGACTTTTATCCCCCTGGAAGCAATTGCACCTGGTTAATAGACACTGGTGACCATCGTAAAGTCATTTTACGCTTCACTGACTTTAAACTTGATGGTACTGGTTATGGTGATTATGTGAAAATATACGATGGGTTAGAGGAGAACCCACACAAGCTCTTGCGTGTGTTAACTGCCTTTGACTCTCATGCACCTCTTACTGTTGTGTCTTCCTCTGGACAAATAAGGGTGCATTTTTGTGCTGATAAAGTGAACGCTGCCAGGGGGTTTAATGCCACTTACCAAGTAGATGGCTTCTGTTTGCCGTGGGAAATACCCTGTGGAGGTAACTGGGGGTGTTACACTGAGCAGCAGCGCTGTGACGGGTACTGGCACTGCCCAAATGGAAGGGATGAAGTCAACTGTACCATGTGCCAAAAGGAAGAATTTCCATGTTCCCGAAACGGCGTCTGTTACCCCCGTTCTGATCGCTGCAACTACCAGAATCATTGCCCGAATGGCTCGGATGAAAAAAACTGCTTCTTTTGCCAGCCTGGAAATTTTCATTGTAAAAACAATCGTTGTGTGTTTGAAAGCTGGGTGTGTGACTCCCAGGACGACTGCGGTGATGGCAGCGATGAGGAGAATTGCCCTGTCATCGTGCCTACCAGAGTCATAACTGCAGCCGTCATAGGGAGCCTCATCTGTGGCCTGTTACTCGTCATTGCGTTGGGATGCACCTGTAAGCTTTACTCGCTGAGAATGTTCGAACGAAGGTCAGTATCCAGAGAAAACCGTAGCGGTGATGCTCTATACAATAAAAATAAGGCCCAAATATTTGCCACAAGTACTTGAGTGTGATTTGCAATATATTTTTGTTTCCTATCATTTTAGAAATAAATATTGTTAATGACTTAGAAAAATTAGTGCAAAATGCTGAAGACTCAAAAGGCTAAACATTTTTTAAATGTATAAATGCTTAGAATTATGAGGTGAGACTTGACCATCTATATTTACCAGTTCCTATTTTCAGATTAATCTGTTTTGTAGGAATTTTTCAAGCTGCAACTCTTGGTTGTAGTGTTTAAACCTATATTTTTATAAATATTCAATAATTTTAGATATTTGAGGACCTCCTATGTTCAAAGGGCTATACAGGTAAATAGAAAAGCACATAAGACAATCTCACAGACAGTTTATAGTTAGGAGAAAAGAATTGGTGGGTGGAATACAATTACAAAAATTTAAGTGTTGTAAGAGCTATAAAACAAAGTGGTATAAAAGTCCAGAAATACCTGCTCTGATAAGAGGGATGGGCAAGGCCCTCATTGAACAGGTACCTTTTGCAATCTATGAGTAGGATGCAGACAGGGAACAGGTGCTGTAGTTGAACGAGTAGCCTGGGGAAGCACGTGGAAGGAGGACTGCCAGCGATGCTCGCAGAGAAGGCCCGGAGTTCAGTCCCTCCGGACCTACGACACAGATAAAGAGCTAATAGGAGATAAGAGCGGAACACAGGGCTAATGTCGTGGGGTGGAGCTCAGTGAGAGCCGCCTGTCAGCACTCTGAAGTAAGAAGGAAAAGCTTAAACGTTAAAGGGTGCCCTTCAGGGGAAGAGCCTCCCGTGCAGTGGCGGTCAGACTGAACCTGAGAGAGGCCCCTGGGAAGCTCCTGTGGAGGCAATAGCCCTCAGTCCCAGGAGAGTGACAAACAGCAAGTTCAACGAAGAACTGCATGTACCAGACAGGCAGGATTATAGACGCACACAGATACCCAGTGTCACAATAACCACACTGCATCTTTCTTTGGGCAAGTATAAATGGCCAGAAAATTTTTTACTACATTGCCCCGTAAGACCACAGTGAAGAGCCAGAGGTCTTGGGTTCAAGAACCAGTTATTCCAGAAAGTGTATTAGTGACTGACTTCTCTCTTCCTTATCTGAAAAATAAATTCGTTGGACTTGATGAGTAAAGTGTCTTCTAATAGTTTTCAAATACTTCCACCTAAAGCCTCAAGCCCCCTATTTTCTTAAGAGTTTAAAGACCTAGTACCTTTACCTTTTTTGGAGTTTTCTAATTTACTAAAACTTAACGATCCAGCCCTGGCTTGTGTCGCTCAGTGGATTGAGTGCTGGCCTGTGAACCAAAAGGTCGCCTATTCGATTTCCAGTCAGGGCACATGCCTGGGATGCGGGCCAGGTCCCCAGTAGGGTCACATGAGAGACAACCACACATTGATGTTTCTGTCCCTTTCTTTTGTCCCTCCTCTGTCTAAAAGTAAATAATAAAATCTTCAAAAAAAAAAAAAAGTTTTAAAATCTAACGATCCAGGCTCCTAATGTAAAGCCCCATGAGGACGCATTGCTTCATCTCTTTATTCTCAGCGTAGGGGTGGTATAAACACCAATAAATGCTGGTTGACTAAGCTTTTAAAATTATCAAGTATATTAAGATTCACATTGTTTTAATTAGTGATGATATTTTTAAAACCGGCTTGCCTTTTTTGAAACCCTTTTTAAACCCCCCCCCCCCCTTTGTTCTCAAAGATCATTTGAAACACAGTTGTCAAGAGTGGAAGCAGAACTGTTAAGAAGAGAAGCCCCTCCCTCTTACGGACAATTGATTGCTCAGGGTTTAATTCCACCAGTTGAAGATTTTCCTGTTTGTTCACCTAATCAGGTATATTGCTATTCATGATTTGTTTTATACCTCTTAAGTTGAAATCTGCACTTGCATGTATGATAAAGGACCCTTGACTCAAAATTTTTGCAATGAAGTAAACGATTAAATACGTGGGGAATTTGAAATCATAATTGTTTCATTGTATTTTAACAAATAGCACAACATACAAAAGTATACTTTTCATTCTTCTGATGTGGTTATGTGATTCTTAAGCATTTTACTGTTTAGGTTAATTTAGTACATTAAAACCAAAGTAAAGTTTCCTAAATTGTTTTCTACTTCAACTGAACATTTAGAAGATTGAAGAATGAATGCTAAAATTAATATGCTAGTAATATATTAGTAGCAAGCTAGAATAATCTGTTGTAATTAACAGTAATTGAAATGGAGTTAACATTTCCACCTGGCTTGGCGGAAAGCTGTTTTACAGCTGGATTTTACAGTGTTTAAGAATTCATACCTTTTTCTTTAAATAGGAACATTCCTTATTAATGTTTCTGAATTCTTTAAATTTCTGTTAAGGTTTTATAAAATTTCTTTTTCATTGCTTAAAATTATGCCAGGGTTCATAAAGGTTTATACATTAAAAATGTAAATTCATCCAGAATCATTAATAAAAATTGTTCCCAGTATTAGAATTAAGAAAAGTTAATAAACAGTATTTTCCAGTGACTTAATTTTGTGCAAAATGGAATGGAAAATTGTTTTTGGTAAATGAGATCTTTGATTACCTTATTTGCATCTTTTAGGAAGTCTTTGGTGAGAATTTGTAGCTTTAAAAGATTTCTCTGGATGTAATTTGCTAAGTTCCACTACCTGGAATTTTGTGTGCAAAATGGGAAAAACGTAAATTGTGGCTTCTGCATATTGTCTTTGCCTTGGGGAAGGTTTCCTTTTAGCTAGGAATTCAGACAGTGGTCAGTTCCATCCACTGTCTCTGCACCACTGACCACCCAACACCGCTGTACCTTCAAGAGTGTAGCCACCTGTGAAGTTAGAGGGAGTATAGTTTACATTAGACAGTCCTTAATTCTAACGCCACATGCAAGTTCCAGGTTTCCTAAAACCATCCTCAGGTTTGATAAGTCACTAGAAAGACTCAGAACCCATTGAAAGCTATTGTACTCGGTGGTTATAGTTTACTACAGGGAAAGGACCCCATTAAATCAGTGAAAGGAAGAGACACATAGGACAGGGTTCAGGAGGTTTCCAAACACAGACCTTCCAATTGTCCTCTTCTGGAAAAGGCAGGACAATATTACTGTTGGCACAGAGGCGTGATAGTATGCAAGGCATATTGCCAGCCAGGGAAGCTCCCCCGAGACCCAGCATGCAGAGTTGTTACTGGGGCCGCATCCATCACATATTCATGGTTAATGGACACATGGCTGGCTGACACTGCCGACCCAAAGCTCCCCCAGTGTCTGGTTGTTGGTGGGAAACAGAGCCTTCACCTAAGGTCCAGTTTAACTGTCTGGCTGGTGCATGGCTCCAGGCAGTGGCATTCCTATCATGGATGACATTCCAACGGCTAAGATTACATCCTGGAAGCAGAGAGTAAAAGACCTCTCTTTGGGTAAGATTTAATTCTTCACTACATACTCTACTATCTAGGGTTATAATTCACCCCTTGGGAGGGAACTGTATTTCAACAGTATTTTAAAATGTTTATGAAAAGTAAGCTAGATTATGCAGCTAATGCGATTAAACTCCCAAGTTTGAAACTTTGGGTAACAAATTATCAAAGTTTCATAGCAGTTTTTTTTTTTAAAATCTAAATTACTATTTCATTCAAAAAATGCTTTCTGAAGAATGCTTTCTTCTGCTTCATAAACTAAAGTATATAAAATTATTCCTAGAACATTTATGAGATCCTCTTGTAGAACCTAATGTTAAATTGGTGATTTTAAATTAAACAGACAAGTAAATAGTGAGCTTCGCCGCGCTATGAAAGACAGTAATGTTTAAGTCAACAGTACAGCGAGCTGAAGGCACAGCTGACCTCACGGGAGGAGCTGCGGAAAGGGCAGGGCATCTGAGGCGCCTGTCGTCCGTCCGCTTGACAACGCAGAGTGCTCACACGGAGCCTCAGAACTTGCGGGCTGGGTGGTGCGGACCAAACCTGCAAAGTTTGTTGGGGAAGTGAACCACTTTTTCTTTACTTTCTTTTTTAAATAGGTACTACTTATAAGTGAAAATTCTTACTCATTTGTATAGCAAGTCTACGTGCACTGATACCCAAATTTCTTACTGGCAGTCTGGCTTTTTACTTTTGGTTAATTATATTCCTGGAATTACGTTCTAAAGGCCTGTCTGGAAATCACAGATAAATTCAATACCCGTCAAAAAGGGTGACGAACACGTGCTGTCACATCTTCCTTATTTTCATCTGTGAGGGGAAAGGCAGAGGAAAACTGGATTATCATCTGAAAGGGAGTATATCAGCTCACCATTGCTTCCTGGAAATACTGGATTTTCAATAGTAAATGCCAGATTTAAATACTTTTCTTTAGCCACTAGATGGAGCTAAAAGACTGCTTTATATAATTCTGTATGTTTGCTTTTAAATAATCTGTAAACTCATTCATCTAGAAAAAGGCAGATACTTTTTTCAATTGGGCAATATATACTAACTAAATCACTCCCATATGTACTAATTAAAAATCACCAATTGCAAAGAATAAGGATATAATTTATGCTTAATACTGAACTGTGGAAAATAAAATTTAATCTTTCAAGATTAAAAAGGAATTCAGATGTCTTAGGTACCATTGTGTAGTCCTATAAACATTAATTTCTTCACCTTTTTTTTGTTTCCTGTGCTATATTACAAATAATTTATTTACTCATTTATTCCTGTGCTGCGTAACAAATATATTGATTCCTTCAGTTATAAATCTTCAGAATCCACTCATTCTACAAATCCTTGAGAACTGACTGTGAAATAAAATTTTCACATGTTTTGGAAAATCTCAACCCTGTAAATCAAGTCTCACTTGCTCTGTGTTAAAAACAACAGCAGCAAAAAAAAAAAAAAAACAAACAAAAAAAAAAATACGAACAGCTACAGACCCAGTTTCCACACTGCTTTAGGTCATTTAGTGAATTTAATGGTAGATATTCTTCAACCTTCCCAGCTAACAAGAGTATCGAGTAATTTTATTTTCTGACTTTGGTACACTTTTAGAATTGGATTACTATGTGAAGTTTTGAAATAAAATAGCTGTTATAATTGATATGAAACATCACTTGCAAGTTGCATGTAAAAAATGAAATGTTAAGAAAATCTTAAACACAGTGAGCAGTGGCTCAAGTTATAGATTAGATTCTGTAGTGGGTTGAACTGGTGTAGACAAGAAAACTTCATTCATCCTCCATAGGCCCCAACAGTACGCAACAGGATTTTTAGCTGCAACACATTTTTCTTAGAAGGGTGTTTTCGATCTTAGTACTTCATTGTTAGCTATTTTAAAGATCTCTTCTTCTTTTTGTAGGCTTCTGTTCTGGAAAACCTGAGGCTAGCTGTGCGATCTCAGCTTGGATTTACTTCCATCAGACTTCCTATGTCAGGCAGATCCAGCAGCATTTGGAATCGTATTTTTAATTTTGCAAGATCACGTCATTCAGGGTCATTGGCTTTGGTCTCAGCAGATGGTGACGAGGTTGTCCCTAGTCAGAGTACCAGCAGAGAACCGGAAAGAAATCATACTCACAGAAGTTTGTTTTCCGTGGAGTCAGATGACACAGACACAGAAACTGAGAGAAGAGATACAGCAGGAGCATCTGGTGGGGTTGCAGCTCCTTTGCCCCAAAAAGTCCCTCCCACAACAGCAGTCGAAGCAACAGTGGGAGCAAGTGGAAGTTCCTCGACTCAGAGCACCCGAGGCGGTCACACAGATAATGGAAGGGATGTGACCAGTGCGGAGCCCCCAAGTGTGAGCCCAGCCCGTCACCAGCTCACAAGTGCACTAAGTCGTATGACTCAGGGGCTACGTTGGGTACGTTTTACATTAGGGCGATCAAGCTCCGTAAACCAGAACCAGAGTCCTTTGAGACAGCTTGATAATGGGGTCAGTGGAAGAGAAGAAGATGATGATGTTGAAATGCTAATTCCAGTTTCGGAGGGAGCTTCAGACTTTGATGTGAATGACTGCTCTAGACCTCTTCTTGATCTTGCCTCAGATCAAGGACAAGGCTTTAGGCAACCATATACTGCAACAAACCCCGGAGGGAGGCCAGCCAGTCGAGATGGCCCCTGTGAGCGCTGTGGTATTGTCCACACTGCGCAGATACCGGACACTTGCTTAGAAGCAACACTGAAAAATGAAACAAGCGATGATGAGGCTTTGTTACTTTGTTAGGTACGAATCACATAAGGGAGATTGTATACAAGTTGGAGCAATATCCATTCATTGTTTTGTAACTTTACAATTAAACTAGTATTAATTTAAAAAGACAAAAATGCAGGGTGATTTCTTATTATTATATGTTAGCCTGCATGGTTAAATTAAACAATTTGTAACTCTATGAACTTTAGAGTTTGCTATTTTAGCAGCTTAAAATGCGTTATGTATTCATATTGTTCAGTAATGTTCTTCCATTTGTTTCTAATTGTTTTTATCCTGGTACTGTAGTTCATGTTAGAAATATGGCTGCTGAAACTCATTTGATGTCAGTTTATCCTATGTTATAACGATTATTTGTACAAAATATCTTCTTTTAATTGAACCCTTTCTGCTTTTGCCGGTACATCTTGTAACTTAATATATTGGATGTTAAGGTTGTTAATGTACTCCGAAGGGGGGAAAGAACCATATACTCACCTGTATTTTTATTTGTATGACATTTGTCTAAATATTATTGGGTTTCATCATCATAAGAGCTTGTCAAAGGGAAAAAAAAACTTTGTCTAAAATTTTTTTTCTCATGTTGAACATGCAGTGATGTGAAATTTAGATAGAATTAGAGTAAATTAAATGGCAAAAAGAGAACTCTTTTATAGATTTTTCTAATATTGACTTTAATATGGTACAAACCAAATGGTAAAATCCCAAGTCATTTCTTTTTTCATCTCTATTTACGCACAGGATTAAGTGGATGAAGATATTCTACTATGCATTAAATCTTAAACTTTATAAAATACGTACAAAAATTGTACAAGATAAGTTCCAGCTGGTAATGTCTTTCCCTGATACAGGGTTATGCTTGCATTGGACCCTAGGGATTTGCACTAAAATCATTCAAGGTCTCAGATGAGTTTAGTGCATAAGCACTATCACTTTAAATACTATTATTTGCTACCACAGTGACTATATATTTCCATAGCTTTTTGGGGATGAGGAGGGGCATTTTTATTACAACTTGAAATTGCTTTGCTGGTTTTATATTTATTTGTTGTATTTAAAGACTGCATTATTATAAGAAAGTGACTTTTTCAATATATTTTATTCATGAGGGGGATCATACTACATGTTGAAAAACAAATTAAGAAGTCATTTAAATCAGCCCCCTATTTTAAGTAGACTGATTTGCAAACCCCACATATTATTTTTATTGTCAATTCTTGTTTATTTATTCTTTAGATGTCTGTTTTAGTAGCTTAATGATTGAGTATGAAAAATGTATTTGTGTGTGATTATTGCTATTTATTAAATTTTAAATACTTTGCTGAATGTCATTTTTAAGCATGTTTGAGGTCTTGTGTATTTGTCGTGTTATGCTGTCAGGAAGAACTGACTGAAATGTTTTAATATGTATCAAAAATTAAAAGGACTTTTTTTTGTATTGTTTTGGGGTACTCTTTAAGTCAAAGTTGCTCTTTATGTTTGTTTCATTTTGGTGCATATACAAATTCAGGCCATAAAATATGTAGCACATCTAGAAGAAAAATGGGGGGGGGGGGCGGTACTCTTCCTTAACTACTTTATGTAAAGTAGTAGTACCAGAGGGTTAGAATCCCTAAGGACCCGAATATTATTTTGCCTTTGGGGAAAAAAAAAACTGCCTCTGATTGATATATCTTCCGAGTTGCAGTAACTCAATCAGTTCTCTTGTTATGTTTGAATGCATTTCAGACCCCACAGAATATATATACTACTGTGCATAGGTTTTTGGCGGTTTGTTTCCTGGCATATGTTTTAATTGTTTTTTTTTAATTAATAAGTCTTCCTGGGTCAAACAGTAAAAAGTACATCTCTCTCCTGCCCTTGACACCTATCTTTTAGTTCCCTTTCGAAGAGACATACCAACACCAGATTCTTCTAGGCCCCTCCAGAAATACAGTATAGATACATACAGCCATATATATGTATATGCAAATTGTTTCATACTATGCATACTTTTTCTGTACCTTTTTCAAAGAAAAAGCATCAGAGTTATACTAAAAGTAAGGTTAGGTATTTCTGTTATTTGATTCTTCATGTTAAATCATTAATCTAGCCTGAATTTGTCTCTACTGTTTTTCTTCAGGTTATCGTAGTTACCCCAAAGCTGTGTATCAAATATAATCCATCCTTTCTTTACTATCTGAAATGACCCTTTTATCATATAGTAAATTTCCATATTATTTGACTATGCTTTTCGACTCAAGTTCCATTTCTTTTCATTGATCTGCCTTTTTTGTGCCGGTCCTAGACTCTTTTAGTAACTGTAATTTTATATGTTTCAAATATTCTTGCTTATTTTTCCATTTGAGCTTTACAATCAACTTGTAGAGTTCTGCAAAGCAAATCCATTCGTACTTGTATTTTTTTAGGTAGATATACTTTTACAGAAGTAGTAGAATTTGACATAATTATCATGTTAAATCTTCTAAACCTTGGTGCCCTGTGTTAAAATGGTGCCTGTTTGGTCTTTTCAAGAAGCCATCTAGTGGTTTATTTCAGCATTACAGTTACTTATTTTTTCAACACAATTAGTTCACTACTTGGTTTTTGTAACATTCAAATGAACTTCTTTGAAGGCAAAACTGTAAATTAAATTGTCAATGAGGCTGAGTTGGGAACTCCAAAGCAATCTACAATAAACTGTGTTCTTACTAATATGGATCAAACGTTTAAAAGTTCCTCTGTGGAGTCCTGTACTGTAATGTTGATAAGGTGAAAATGAAGTTAGCCCTTATGTGCCACTGTGCTCTGTGACAGTCATCAAAGATAAATAGTATGTAGTTTCTGTTTTCCAGAAGTTCACAGATTAGTGTCCTGAAGTACACAGAAGGGTGATTAGGTTGTATTGTAACTGCATATAAACTTCATTTCTTTAATAGGAACTTTTTTCCTTGTTTTCCTTTTGATGCACACTGGCCTCATCCAGCCTCCTGACTCACCTGCCTCCTCTCTTGCCCATTCCTTTGATCATTAAAGGCAGCCACAGTATTTATTTATTTTAGAAACAAAGCCTCGGAGTCAGAGCTTCAGTCAAACTAGAGATAATATCAAGGCCTCAGTTGTATTTTGGCTCCACGCCCAGCAAAGTGACAAAACCAGACAAAGGGTCACAGTGGCTGGCATCAGGACCAGATGCGCAATCAGCTACCTCGCCCCCTAGCGCTGAACAGTTGGTAGAGACCACGGCCCTGGTCTCCCTTAGTCGCCATGGGTCATGATTTTTCCCCTATATAATCCATCCCCTGGAGGCCAGGTCTTTGAGCATTAGCTCACCTGTGACCTTGGGTGTGGGCGACTTGCTAGAAATAAACCCTTTCTTTGCTGCAAGCTCCGGTTCTTGTTTTACTGGATTTTGATGCTCGCAGGCAAACAGATCCCATTGGTCCAGTATCAGTAACCACCTACAATGTTTTCACTGTGTTTACCATGTGTGGGACTAAATACCTTTTACGTCAGAAAAGTAATTTTCTCCCAGGAAGTATTTATTTAAGATGAACAACATTTTTAATGGAGGAATATATATAACTCCATTGCTATCCTGTTGTATTAGAGAAACAATAGCATAAAATTAGAAAGTGCAGAGCTAAATAGGTTCTAAGTCAGAGGAGGGGAGCCCAGATGGGACCAATACATGTTAAGAGGGACCACACCCTGACAGCTGTCTCTCTGTGCCTTATGCTTTGGCTTTTACACTGATTTCCTCACACACGGGCATCAGCATCTCAACATTGTCATGTCTACGTAACCACATAATTTTAAATAGTGTTGTCAGGGCTCCAGAATAGCACCTGCTGCTCTTGCTTCAGCCCCCACCGTGGTCTGACCCAGCATCTCCCAAGATTCTTTTAAAAAGTTGGAGTAAACCCCTGCAAGGTCTGCCTTGAATCCCTTTTGCTTTAGACATTGACTGCCTTGAGGATTTTCAGTTGAGGGGAGGGGAAGACTTTAGAAACAAAGTAGGTAAACTCTTTACCAGACACCCTGCAGGTTAGTAATTTGTATCCAAGTCTAAAGTCAACAAAATGCAGAGGGTGAAAAGGAGATCAATTATTGCGGGGGCGGGGGTGGGGGGGCGGGGTTGAGGGGGTTGGGGGAGGGGATTAACTGCAAAGGGACACAAGGAAGATTTTGGGGTGATGGAAATATTCTCTGTCTTGATTGTAGTGGTTGCATTACAGCACGTCTTTGTCAAAATTTATAGTACCGTACACCTAAAAAAAAGATAAATTTTACTGTGTATTTTATTTAAATGTCTAAAAATACATAAAATGCAAAATCCCAACCCTGTTTCTGTCTGTATAGCAAAAATCCAAGCAGTGTGTATTTATTTACTGTTGAGGCAAGCTATTAAGAAGCTAGGAAAATTCCTTGGCAAGTGGACTGGGGAAACAGAAACAGATAGTTAAGTGGTTGAGCAGTTTACAGCCAGTTAGTAAACCACAGTTTTTGTCTTCCCTAACCAAGGACACTTAGGAGCAAATGGTTTACACATTCCAGACCATTCTAGGGCAGACCCATCTCTGACCTAGTCTCGTTACGTTATTTGAAGGTGAAACTAACCACAGAATGACCCTGATTCCTCTATACATTCATTTTGATTTGTCAGCATGTTAAAGAGCACACCTGGAAAGCTGATGAATATTCTATTGAGATTCTTGAGATCCTCCCCTGAAGCCTCCCCTAAAATTCCCACCTGTAAAAAAAAATAATAAAAGCCCTTAAGACGAAGGACCTAGAGTGTGCTCTACCTGGAGCACACCCTCACCTTCTCCCCATGGCACCCCCTACAGCTCTCTCTCTCTCTCTCTCTCTCCCCTCTCTCTCTCCCCCCTTGCCTCAGGCCTGTATCTTCGCTTTCTCTTTTCCTAATCTCTAACGGTTTTCAGGAGACTTGCAACCGGGGAGCAGTGGGCAGCAGCAGCTCATCCCAGCTGCCTGTCTCCAAGGGCCTTCGTTTGCCTCTGTAACTTGTTACCTAAGTCCACGCAGCCCAGCTGGCTCATTTCTTC